GTTACAAGGACAAATTTGTCTCGCAGGTGAATATTTGGTTTGACTGTTTTTTTGTTTTTTTTTTTACTTCAGAGCCACAGGAAGGGAGGTGTTCGACTGGATCTTAGACCAGGGCTACTACTCAGAACGGGACACCAGCAATGTGATCCGGCAGGTGCTTGAGGCTGTGGCTTACCTGCATTCTCTCCACATTGTTCACAGAAACCTAAAGGTGACTTGGGCCTTTACTACCACCTACTGGTCACCACATGGTATTGCACCAGAATGCAGTCTCAGACACTACAAAGTTTCAGGAGACAGAGGTTAATTAGACACCTTAAAGGGTTATTTCATGCCATAAGGAAAATTGTTATATTATAATTGTCATGTCTTGCATCTCTTGTTTTTTAATACAATCCTGAACATTTCTGATTCTTATAATGACAAGGTGCAAGGTGACGTTTTTTGAGGTTTTCTAAAATTGATCTTCTCACTCCGTCAGCTAGAAAATCTGGTCTACTACAACCGTCTGAAGAACTCCAAAATTGTAATCAGCGATTTTCACCTGGCCAAACTGGAAAATGGTCTTATCAAAGAGCCATGTGGCACACCAGAGTACCTTGGTAAGAAAAAGTGTCAAAGCTTTCAGAAGTAACTGCACCCTATGTTGTGAATTAAGATTATTCATATAGATATACTGATATGATTATAATATATTTAAGTTAATGATGTAAAACGAATCTATTTAATTTACTTAAAAATAACAATGTAGAATATAGCCATTGAATTCAGTACACATCAAATGTGATTTTTACTATCAAAAATGTGTAAAATATTTTTTAAATAATGATTCATATGTGTACGCTAAAGTGCTTTCATGGTTTGAGGAAAATATTTAACTTTTTAATTGATGGTTACACCACTTGCATTGTTTTGCAAAAATGTATTAAACCAACATGAATACAAAAATGACGTGTCCAAGAACACTATAATATAATATAGTGTTTTGCACTATATTATATTATATATTTGTCATTTTCTCTTTTTCTCTTATAGCTCCAGAGGTGGTTGGCAGACAGAGATATGGCAGACCGGTGGACTGCTGGGCCATCGGTGTGGTCATGTACATCCTGTGAGTTCATGTTTCGTTTTTTTTATACATTTCATTCATTGTGTAGGATGGTCCAACATATTAATTTCATTGTGCTCCTGAACCAGATCTTTGTTTATTAGTAGACCCCATAGATGTCTGTTTTGGAGTCACTTGCCTGACGCATCCATGAGGTCATCCATGAGTTCATCAGCATTTACATTCCATTTCCTGTAGTCACATTGCATGGTAGCTTATAATTGCCACTCTGTAAGTGCACAGTATCTCCTGTATCTGTTTCCCTTCTTGATCTCTCCACAACAATCAAATGTTGTTCATATGGTATTGTTGTCCTAATTAACCCCTTGCCCTAGGAAATTTTAAGGCTCTGGTCATATGTGTGTTCACAGTGTGTTTGTGTGTTCTACTCACTGCTGTGTGTGTGCACTTGGATGGGTGAAATGCAGAGCACAAATTCTGAGTATGGGTTACCATACTTGGCCACGTCACTTTCACTTTATAATTTTCAACAGACTGTCAGGAAACCCACCTTTTTATGACGAGACAGAAGATGACGATTATGACAATCATGATAAGAACCTGTTCCGAAAAATTCTGTCTGGAGACTTTGAGTTTGACTCACCCTATTGGGATGACATCTCAGATTCAGGTACAATACACAAATCACTGCACAGTAGGGTGTGGGTTGGATCTGTGAGATTCTGATCTGATCAAAACACAAATTCAACCTTAAATATCTGCTTTGCAGCAAAAAGCCTAGTCACATGTTTAATGGAGGTAGACCAGGACCAAAGACTGACCGCACAGGAAGCTATCAATCATGAGTGGTAAGGAGCCTTTGTCAGTGCAGGATCTGCATTTTATAATTTATCTGCAGTTTAATAAAAAAATAACTGCTGTACTTTTTTTAGGATATCTGGAAATGCCGCCTCAGACAAGAACATCAAAGATGGTGTTTGTGCTCAGATCGAGAAAAACTTTGCTAAAGCCAAATGGAAGGTAAGGTTTCAAATAAATGCTGTTCTTTTGAACTTTGTGTTGTTCAAAGAATCTTAAAAAAATGTGTATCATGGTTTCCACTAAAATACTCAATATTGAAAATTCAGCTTTGACATCATAGGAATAAATTACATTTTAAAATATATTTAAATAGAATTTTGAATTGTAATATTATTTCACAACATTACTGTTATTTTAATAAGTTTATGTACTAAAATGTATTAATTTGTTAATCATTTAAATTATTATTTTTAGTTAAACATATTATATTAAAACATTATTAATATTATTATTATCCAGAAAGCTGTTCGTGTTACCACCATGATGAAGAGACTCAGGGCTCCAGATCAGAGTGACTCTGGAGCCTCTAGTCCTGCAATGGGAGCCTCAGGAGGAGCTGTTACCCCCAGCAGTACCCCTGTTCCCCTGGCTGCCACACCAGTGCCCGCCTGCACCACCCTGGTTGGCCAGGATCACCCCGAGGCCCAGACAGAAGAGTCCTCAGCTCCAATGCGGTGTAAAGGAGAGATGTTGACATCCCAGCAGCGTAGTGGAGACTAGGGAGAATTAGAATGGCTGATTACATTCAGACAAATATAGTGGCAAACAGAGCAGCACCTACACACTACATATAAATTCAGTTCAGTTGTTCAATTAAAGTTCAATTGTGCTTAAAAGCTTGATCACCATTTTACATTTTCATTTGTGCAAAATGCTGTAATCTAGGAAGACTTTAAAATTTAAATCCCAGTCCCATAGTAGTCTATCTGTATTTTCTTAAATAGCTTTATCAAAGAAATATTGTTTGTTACTTCTGAAATAACAATCTGTGATTTAATTTCCATTGTTAATTCAAACCAATTCAAAAATTCCTCTTCAAACCTTTGCTACCATCTTTTTTTAAGGGTGTTATACAAAATAAGATCCAGAACCTGCATGAAGTTTATTTAGTTCTTAGATTTACTTTACAAAAATGTAATTAAAAGTTTATGCGGTTGAATTATTTTCAGTTGTATTTATTACATGCCTGAAATTTGCAAGTGGAAAACTGATATTTTTTAGACATTTGTTTTTTCCACATTGCAAAGAGCAAATGACCATTTAAAAAAAAAAAAAGAAATACAGCCTGAAAAGATGAATTTTAGAGCCATTAAAGAGGATAATTCACTTAAACACAAACAAAATTAAAGCAGCAGAATATTGTGTCTGCATAAAAAGAACGGTTGGACTTTGATGTAAAATTTCATATAGACCTTTATCCAAATGTCTGTTTGATCCAGAAGTGCCCAGCTGCTGAATTACAATTCATATCAATATTTTATGTCATAATATTAGCTAACCAGCAACTAAAACCGCTGCTGTATTTCATTCATGTACATGTCATTATGTTTTTGTCAATACTATCATCATATCAATATAATATTACTTGGTGTTTCTTGGTGTACTGCTGAATCATGTTTTTCTTTTGCTGTACAATCTTTACAGAAATTATGTAGCTCTTTTGATTCAATCTGCCCTTATATCCGTATTCTATAGAGTACTGCATTTTATATAGAATACAACTGGTTTCATTGAGTCTGATACATTGAGGCCTACAGGTTTCCAGAACGTTCTGTAAATGTGCAGTACAAACAAAGCAATATGAATATTGCTGTAATACTGTGAAACTGCTATACAGATGATAAGATGTTCCTGCCATATTTCATACAGGTAGCCAAGCAATTTGCTCTTGATGGTCGTTTGTGTACTCAATCTTATAGCTGTATATTATGTTCAGTTATTGTATTCTGCCAAAAATCCAGACCATATTTTTACTGTCCATGTAGAGAGAGATTAATCAAAAAGTCTTTAAACTGCAAATCCTGCTGTAGCTCATGTCCATTATGGCATATTTATTTGTTTATTGTTGTTTTAATTGTCTTTAGCGTGATCTCATGTTTATTTTTAAGCATTAGCTAAATATACTCCCCATTGTAGCTTCACTGAGTTTTTTCTGTTAGTACTAAGTAATGTAAAAGGAACAGACGTACATTTTGTTTGACCTCTGTGTGCATTAGTTTGACCTCAACTGAAAACCCAAAGGTTGTGGGTTCGAGTCTCGTACCGGCAGGGATTGTAGGTGGGGGGAGTGAATGTACAGCGCTCTCTCCCACCTTCAATACCACGACTGAGGTGCCCTTGAGCAAGGCACCGAACCCCCAACTGCTCCCCGGGCGCCACAGCATAAATGGCTGCCCACTGCTCGGGGTGTGTGTTCACGGGGTGTGTGTTCACTGCTGTGTGTGTGCACTTTGGATGGGTTAAAATGCAGAGCACTAATTCCAAGTATGGGTCACCATACTTGGCCACATGTCACGTCACTTCACTTCTTTTCCTCTTTAGGATGCACTGACTCTAGGCTCTGTAAACACTGAAATATGTTTTCTGAGAAAAGTTTTCATAGAAGACAGAGCAGAAAAATAGGTGATCGTGTCAGTTCAGAGTACAATGTGTAATTCATCATTTTCATGTATCAGCTCAGCCTTATGTGTTTGTTTGTGGCTTCTGTATTTTGTTACTCGATATGCAGAATAAATGTTTTTGGACAGTGTAAGTTTCCACGGTGGTTCTTATTTCCGGTCTAGTACTAAATTTAAATAGTACATTTTGCATAAAGTCCTCACCTATGTCCCCTGATTCACTGCAATTGCTAATTAAGTAGGCTGTAATGAATGTTTAATGGCTTAAAGAATTATGGCTGCAGTAAAAATCAAATTACATGTATAATAATTGTATTTATAATGCAGTTACAATACTTTTTTTGACAGACAGATTCTAGTTACATCTGGTATGTAATCCTTCATATGGTAACATATTTTTGTTTACTGAATCTTAAAACTTCAACTCCCATAAGCCCTCATTCACCGGAAACGGAGTATGTACTTTTCCGCCTCTTTGTCGGGAAACCCAGAAAAAAACCTGCGAAAAGATCTCTACAAGCTAGGTGAGACGTCTTAAAATGGCTTTACAGACATTAAGGTGAAGAAATAAGCCACTGTTGTTTGTAGCTTTATGTAAAATAAAGATGAACGAGAAAACGTTTACTTCGTCCATTGATGTTAGGAAAATGTCTTGATTGAAAGCTAAAATTAGCACGTTAGCCTTCTTTTATGAGGGCAGGGTTATGAGATGATTAAAGCAATATCTTGCCTTCTTGTTAATATATATTTGAGTACATGTTTATCACTCTCACACAACGGTGTATTTGACATCTAATTTTATTTCATCGCATTTAGTTAACTACTTACTCACATTAGTCAGATGTATTGTGTTAGCATGAGGCTTTAACAACGTAACGTTACTTGCTTTTCAATCTGAAACTGTCAGTTCCAATCTTGCGATATTATATTAAACGATTTTATAAGCCCTCATCGTGTTATGCAAATATGAAATAACAGTTCATTTGATTGCATTTCACCTCTAGAGCGTGTAATGGTTAATGATATGTGTAATGGTTTCGATGAAAAAAAAATACCGTTATTTTAGAATTATTTGTTCGATTGAGGTTTTAAAGCCAGGACGTTTAGCGAAGTTACAATAGAATAAATAAATTAATTGATGTTTAATGATAAGGTATTTATTGATTTCCCAAGTGAAACGACGTTCTGCACTCGAAACTCGTGCTAAGGGAGAGTTTCGAGGAGAGGAGGAACACGATGTGGAACGGTTCAAGACCTGGACCACGAGGAGGAATGCCCTTTCGGTAAGAGTTCTTAGATGAAGTACAGTTCTAAGACTATATACTTTATCAAACACACAAAATATGTAACCAATATACTATGTTCCTAAGGTTTTCTTACTGTGGGACATGCAACCTAAAACTTCAGTCAAAACTAAATGGCAGATCTAAAATGGCTCAAATTTATCGCACCTGCAATTAATTGTCTGTCAGTGTGCATTTCACATTTAAAAATATCCAAAGTGCCACATGACATAAGAAATCTTCTATGAAATTTGTCTTAGTAAAATCATGGCCAAAGTGCTGGCGTGTGTTCCAGGGTGTAATAAGAAAGAATCTACAAAGAAGTGCAAAATGTATACAGTACACTATTATATTTTATGTAGATTGGTTTTATTTTAAACTTGCAATGAATCTTGTGATAGGCTGGGCCACAAAGGATGCATTTGTTTTATCTTTCATGGCCCAGAAAACAAAGGACATATTTCGAGGCCGCATTTGATGAAGCAGTCACCTTCATTGCACTGCTGTGACGCATTCTTGGAATGCAGTCTTTGAAGGATGCTGCCTCTGAATTGGGACACAGCTTGTATGTTTTGTGAAAAAGTAAATAGATTGCTCATTTGCAGCAATGCTTCTGATTTTATTGCAGTGGCGAACCTCGTGGAGGCATGTTTGAAGGCAGAGATGGCCCAAGACCTGACTTCAGAGGTCGGGATGGGATGAACATGGATAGGTCACCTATGGACATGAGACGGTTCGACTGCCCACCTGATATGAGAGGACGAGACATGGGTCTTCATGACCGAGGAAGAGAGCCTTCCCGAGACTTTTTCAGACCTGGAGATGAAATGGAAATTAATTTTCGAAGGCGCTTTGAAATGGATCAGAGAAACAACCTTCAGAATCCTCCAGGTTTTTTGGGTCAATCCAGGCCACCGATGGATATTGGTGGCAGAGACATGCAAGGTGGTAATATGAGGGGTCCAGAGGATGGATTCTTGAATATGAGGGAGAGGGAGAGATTCCAGATGGATATGCCTGGGCTTCCCCCCATGGACATCAGGAGGAGACTTGCTATGGCGGCTATGGGTGGAAATGGAGATCATGGGGACATGAGAGACAGAGAGAGGCCACGGATGGGTGGCATTGATGGGTTCAACATGGACATGCCTCCCAGAGACAGACCGATGATGGATTTTGACAGGCGAGGTGCCACCCCTCCACTTAATCCAAGAGGAAGGTTTGAATCTGATATGGATCTGAGAAACCGCATGGGATCCTCCAATGATTTCAGAGAGCAGCCTCCTCAGATGTTTCGAGACAATGATGGCGTTCCAATGGATATCAGAGGAAGACCTGATATTCCTTTGGGTCGTGGTGGTCCAGAGCCCATGATCAGAGGCGATGAGATGACCCTCAGAGACAGAGAATTCCCAGAGCCAATGGACAGTCCCATGGGCTTCAGAGAGAGAGAAAGTGAATCGCTCTCAGACGAGTGGCACAAGCATGGCATGAGAGACCGTGACCCTCTTCCGCCGATGATGGGCAGAATGGCGCCACTTTTCCCGAGAGAGATGCAAGACAAGTTCTTCTCTAACCGTGGAAAAGATGTAGACTTTGGAGAACATTCCCAGTTCAAAGACAGAGACCGAGACCGGCAGTCTGGGTTTCTGGGAAAAGACGGCACAGGCTTTAATCGATCAGAAAGAGACTCCAAACACCAAAACTGGGAGAAGAATATTCCTAGTGATTTCCCAGTCAGAGATCCATCTCAGAAGCCCTCCCTTCTTCCACCGGATCCCCCTCTAAATGCCCAAAGTAGAGATGGAGATAAACCCTGGCCAGGTGACCGAGATGAAAAGCCTGACCGAACTGCACCAGCGGGAAGTAGACCTCCATTTTTCCAAGACAAGAACAAGCCAAATCAAGAGCATCGTTTTGCAAGTGATCGAGTGCCCTTCAAGGATTCCAGTGACTTGGCTTTAGATCAGGGACCACAGAAAGAGAGCTTGATGTCCGGGCCAAAGGAACCCCAGGCTAATAGAAGTGAGGGACAGGATCAGGATTATCGAGACATTGATTACCGCACCAGCTCAGGTCGCAAATACGACTACAATCTTGAGGATCTTCAAGGACCTGAGAAAGACGTGAATGAATCCAAACTTGGTCCAACTCAACGACTAGACGACTCTGGTTCTCAGGTTAGGATTTGTCTTTTGTTTTTCTTTAATGGAAAGCAAGAAAAGCTTCTATTCAACTACAAAATTATTCCAATTAGCAGTATGTATATACATTTATTATGTAAATAGGATAAATTAATTATCTTTAGCTTCTTCATCGGCTTAATATTTTTTTTATCCCCAATGGGGGAAAAAAACAACACAAACTTTTTTCAGATGGGATGGTAATTCATGTAAAAGTTAATATAACATTTCTTTTCACAGCTCATATAATTGCTTATGTGAATTCAAATGCGCTAGTACAGATTGACTTGTAAAGTATCTAAATGTTTAAACTCTATTGTGAATTTTGAAATAAAGGACCAGGATTACAGGAGTGCAAGTGTCCAGGATCAAGTCTCAAAAACAATTGCCATCTCTGGAATTCCTAAAACTGCCACAATGCAACAGGTAAGCATGATGTAATTATTCAGACTTTGATTGTTTACATACTTTTAGTTCTTTCTTGGTATTCTAAAAAAAAACACCATCAGTTACCTGAATGATTGTCAAAGTTAGTTTGACATCAGTTATTTTTTTCTTTCATAGATTCTGGATGCTTTTGCAGTCCGTGATGGTGTGCCAATGCAGGGCATGAAAATAAGGGATGTTGTGCCAGGTGAGATTTTGTTCGCTATAAACTTTGATGACCGATTCGCAACCACATCGCTATTCGCTCTCTGAATCTTACGCTCACTGTCTCTTTTACATCGATTGTACTTACTGCATCTTACTGTACTTACTGAGTCACTTTTGTTTTCTAAAGAAAATGCTCATCAGTATTTCGAACATGCTACAGGATCTCTTGTTGTCCCTTTTCCCAATGTTCTTGTGCGGGAGGTTGAATTGTCCCTGAGCAGCTTCCATCTTCAAGGTGGCATGCGCTTAGAGGGAATTTTGGAATTTCTTAAACGTGGTTCCCTTCATAAACAAGCCATTAACTGTCAAAACACAAATACCAACTGCCACTACTTTGTGATGATGTGAAGTGTTGCTGCAAAATATTCCTCGCGGGGTTCAGCTGATAAAGGTTTCAGTGTTTTTGTTCTTTTTTTATATGCCAGAATAGTTTCCTTTCTTCACAAAAGACTGTATCAGTTAAGCTAATATGCTGTTTATTGTTCCCTGGAAAACCTGAAAATATCAGGAAATGTAAAAGGTTTTAAAAAAATGTGGATAAATATTATAAATGTAATAAAATCATTCTTTGCCAATGACTCCACAAGTTATGGAAATAGACATTTTTAAATTACTGTATTTAATTATCTTCATCTATGAAGCATCTATGAATTTGCAGTGAAGAGAGCAACCTTTTCAGATTTAGTTGTTTTGTTCCAATTAATCAAGTTAATCCAATTAATAACTTCTTTGCTTTATTATTCTTTAACTTTATTTTTTATTGTTCAAATTGTTGCAAGTTTGTTGGAAAATAAATGTGGGTCTTCTATAATGTGTTTTAGATGTTAGATCTAAACTCAGTTACTGTAGTGTTATTTTAAGATCTCTATTACACTCTGGTTCTCTTTCTACTATTATTATTTTTATTTATAAATTTTTATAAATGTATGTCTTGGCCTCAGAATTGTCTCTGAGTTGAGGCTAATCTGATTCTTCGTGATTGACTTCAAACAATTAAAAGTTGTTAATGAAATAAAATGTGCCAGAACAAGCAAAAGACATCATGTATGTTCGCTTTGTGATATGTCTCGTGAAACGAACCACTGCTAAATTCTCTTGAAAATTCTCCTATTTACCTGCAATAACTAACACAAACCCATCTGTATTTCAAATGCTGTTCCCAGGTTACAGCTACGATATGGCCTATGTGGAGTTTTTAAACCTCGAGGATGCTGTCCACTTCATGGAGTCCAACCAGGTGGCCCATCCTCGTCCTTCTACAACGACTCTGTCTGCTAACAGGAAGAAGGCTTGGGCCTGGGGAGGGGGAGGTGGCTGGGCTTTGGGTGGGAATGGGGTAGATGGGACATGAGACCTTCAAGGGAACATTTTTCCCACTTATTAATCATGACCAATTAAACCACGCAACTTAGTTTGCAGCATTAGCTTTCAGATGTAGCAAGTGAGTGTAGTGTTAAGGAATTCGCTATTCTTTGATGATTGCCATAGGTGTGTTAGCTGATTGTGCACAACCTTTACAATTCACTGTTTGTGACATCTAATACAAAAGAATGGATAGTTTTAGGAATAGATACATGGCATACTGAGTTTGGAAATGGATTTGCATCTGTGCAACAAGTTGTGCAACCTTTTTCTTCAACTCTTAGGTGGTAGTACACCAGACCATTGAGATTTAATGCTTTGTTTTCAACAGTATAATATTTTATTTCCCTTATTTGACCATCTCGAGGTTATGATCTTACGATCACTTTTTACTAGCTCCCACTGGCATATTTTGAAGTGGTACTGAAGCAAAACTAAACATTCTTCTTTGACTTCCTTTATTTTCTTACATTATAGTGATTCAACGTTGGATTTGCAAGATTGCAAATGCTCCATGTAGCTTGGTTCTATGGTTGTAGGTAAAGCTTTATGCTGTTATGCATACATCACCAGCAACAATCAGTATTATACTTGTGCTGTGTCAACACTTATCCCTCATCCTTCATCCTTATGGAATTACAGAGTTCCTAAACTCTGCTCTTTGGTTCTGCTTACAGCCTGAAGTTTTTTTATTCTTCTTTCCATGAATTGTGGTTTAATCATTTTGAGTTGGGGTGTTTTATCTCCTCCAGCACAGCAAGCTCGTTCTTCCATTCCTGCTTACACCATCTTGACCGACTTCATGGTTGTTGTATATCTGGATGTATAGAGAGATCCATACTGATGTTTATTAGGAAAATCCAGACTTGGAAAATCGGGACTTGTTTGTACTAGTAGTATTTTGAGATTTCTAATGAAACTTGCACTATAAATGTAAGGCGAGTACAGCAACTAGAGGTTTGCTTGGGTTTGTGTTGAGCCATTGGCTGTTGTGCTGAAACTTGAATACCCTGTGGGTTGCACTGGTTGTTTCAGCATATATTTCCACCCCGTTTTTGTTAAATGTCTGGCAAAGTACCTTTCAGAAAAGAATCTTGCTCAGGGTTCTTGTTTCATCCAAAACTAGTTTCTCTGCTGGCCAACTAGCAGGATAACTTATCTTGTTTTTTTGTACTTTGTAAGACATTTAAAAACAAATTTCTACAACAAGTAACTGCGACAGTGATGGTGGGTAAGATGTCATAAAATGCTGATCACATTACACTATTAGGTCATTTACCTAGAATGTCCTTTCAACGTAAAAGCTGAAGATCTCTTACCACAGTTGTCCAAAAACAGTATTTTTCTTTGATCGGGCATGAACTGGTGACAGTAGGGAGCACCGGGATTTTTCACAGTTGGCCAGTCAACTTATGGACTGTCTTTTGAAACCGTTTTTTATAAACAACAAATATATGTGAAGTAAAAAGAGAAAAGCTTGATGTCCTAGCATAGATAGAATGTCACTGCTGTTTTGATCGTCCACCCCATCGTTAAAAGTGAATTGTGATCTAGCGGTTAACTTTTTCCAAGCTGCTCTCCTGTTATCTGTCTGCATAGTCTTCTCACTTGAAAGAAGCCAGACTTTATGGTCTTTACTCATCCTGTTACAGATGAATGTGTATTTATTTGTGCTGTGAATATGCTTCTACTATGTACTTTGACATTACTAGTTATATTTTGAGGTTATACTTTGAGGTTAGCATTCAAATTAAAGTGGTAGTACATAAACAGCAGCCATATAACCACTAGATTTTACTACACTTGCAAGATTTTTCTTTTATATTTACACAGTAGTGTGTGTATCAAAAAGGCAGATGAAAAAAAAGCTAACTTAATCCAAACCTGGGCATAAGTAAAGCCCAGGGGTCCGTTCTTCGTACCTCGCTTAATACATCTGAGATGATTTTACACATGCTAGATCTTTTAATCGTGATAACTGATCTCTGGCTAGTTTGGTTCTTCAAACAAGTTAGCGGATTAGATTAAAATATCTGGATTAAGTTATCTGAGATATCTTTCTTGTTATGTTCATTGAAAAGGGCAGATATATGATACTCAACCATGATCAGCAATGCAGTGATTGGCTGGCAGCAAAACAGCAATGTAATGACATCATATAATTAAGATCAAGGAAACAGCCAAGTGAGAAATGACATAAAAGTAATTTACGTGCTGTGTAATATCATTGCGCCTGCTGCACCCATAGTACGGCAGCAAAGTTCCTTGATTATTACACCGGAATGAGAGTATAGTTCCCAGCCATATCGGCCTAGAAAATCGCAACTTTTCATTTTCCCTCGGTCTTCGTACACGATGTAACTACAGAAGAGTCAAGTTTTAAATAGGAAAAATATAGAAACTCTTTGGTCATTTTTGAGCGAGATGCTAACGATCTAATCAGATTCAATGATCTATGCTAAGCTACAGCCTAAAAGTGCTACCGCCAGAACCGGAGATCGGCTGAATGGATTTGAAAACGGTAAAACTCAACTGTTTAACTCTAGGGGAGTTGGAAAATGAGCCTATTTTCAAAAATAGTGGAGTGTTTCTTTAAAACGATACAAACTAGGCCTGTTTATGTGAAATAAGCCTGCTCCTGAGCAGGTTTGAGCTAATGGACTTGTTGCTATGACAGCAACTCCAGGATGAGCTTCGAAGAACCTAACAATCTTGGATCACGTCAGATCGTCAACAATAAAATCCAGCGTATGAAGAACGGACCCCAGATCAGATCTGCCTGTGTTTATGCCCTCAGATGGGCAAATGGGAGTTATCTTTTCTTTTTTGTTGTTAGGTTGGGTTGGTTTTTTGGGGAAGCTATCAGTTACTTAGCATTGAGAGACTTTCTTCCTGTTTTCTAGGGATCTGTTAAGGTTGGTGACAAGACTGCTCTGCTCAAATATATCCAGCCTGACAAAAATGTGAAAGAACAGGTGAGTTTCCTCTTTGGTAGAGCTTGGTATGTATTGATCTTAATCATGATGCAACTCATCTATTAGTGTGATTGACATCCTTAAATGTATTTTGGATTGTAGCATCATGATCCACCAGCTAACGCTGCTCCAGCCAGCGATGACGGTTTGTTACCAAATCCAGTCCTGAATATAAAGGAGGAAACCGATTCCAAGCTTGAGCAGGATCCTGCCTCTCAAGGTGCATGGCAGAGAAGCTCCAACTTGACTCCTGAAGCATGGCAACAGCAAGTGGACCAACAGCTACAACAGCAGGAGGTGGAGCAACAGGCAGAGGAATGGACCAATCAAAAAGCATCGCGCCAAAACCTGCAGCACTCCGATCCAGTCTTCAAGGAGAGCAAGAGTAAGTGATGTCAACTGTGAATTACATTTTCTAAAGGAAAACAAGTGAACAAAAGTAGGTAGCAGATTGTTCTTAAGTTTCATGTTTATTTTCAGCAATGATTATCAAGAACATTTTGCCTACCACCACCGTGGAGACCATTCTGCAAGCCCTCGATCCGTTTGCATACCTGGATGAGCGCAATGTTCGTCTGGTCAAAGGGAAGTCACCTGGATCCAAATGCTTCTGCTTTGTCGATATGGATTCACATGAGGTATTGTACAGATACCTCATTCTAACTACAATATAATGTCTCAGAATGGTCCAGCGTGTTCCTTGATGCATTCTTAATGATACTACTCACTTCTATATACAGCATGTGACACGATTGGTGGAGCTGCTCACCAAACCCCGCCCTATCATGATTGATGGAGTGAGAGTTTATGCTGAGGTTGCCAAGCCTTTGAAAAACCAAAAGTAGGTCTCATCTTTGTCTCATATATGGTAGTAATGAAAGAATATTTTATAAATATTCTAGTTTCAGTCCTTAAAATCACCATGAATTCTAAATTTAAAATTCTTATTTTTTTTAATGGAATACTGTTCATTATAAATAATTTATCTGTGCACTTCATTATTTTTTTAAAAATTCATATGCCCTCATAATCTTTAATCAAAAACTTTAACCACCCCTCCCCCTCAAAACGACGACTCTTCTCTTCCGGTCACGAGCTATGGCGCAAGGATGGAGCTAGTGACGTGAAGGGTTAACGCTGGGATAAACAACGGGGAAAAACTGAAGCTGATGCTTCACTTTATAGCACTGACACCAGTCATGAGGGAGTACGTTACCCCTAAACATTGAAAAGATATTAGGATATTACGACAACATTACTCTTAGGACATATTTTCATGAATATGTCTTAACCTGATGGAGGATGCGCTCAGTCATTCAGGCAGTCTCTCTCTCTCTCTCTCTCTCTCTCTCTCTCTCTCTCTTTCCGCGTGCGCTGTTTAGGCATATTTTGAGCCATTGATCGTCGTCGTCATCCTTAATAAATAAAACATTTATTCATGCTTGGGTGTTGGCTGTGAATCCAGTGGAGAGAAATCCCCCACCACTAACTGCAAACTGGCATTCAGATCTGCCTCCATTTTGTTGGCAACGCCCCAGCTTCCAACGATCCAATCAATTCTCGAAGGACGAAATCAAGTCCCGCCCTCTCATTTCAGATGCCGTTTCACTCGGATATACGTCACAGTAGAGAAGAAACGACAATCGCAACTTTCTTTTCACGCCGACTTTAAAGGCAACATTTCATAAATCCTAAGAGAAGAAATTTCAGTATGTACTGTGGTTATTTGAGCTTTGAATGTAATTCTTCTTTTCCCTGCAGCTATAGGAGGGAAAATGATAAGTCAAACACTTCTCTCCTTGGTTTCCCTCCGGATGTTATGATGGTAGGTAATTTCAATGCATAACATAAGTTGTTACCAAAACAGCTAGACACTGTTTTAAAGGTACATTTGATAAGGTTGAGGTTCTCTTTATCTTGAAACAGCATTTAAAAAATGTAGAGCCCATTGCGTGAATTGCTGAAAAACGACAAAATATGTCAATATGGTTGAAGTTCACTCCGTCTAGCATACTTTTACATATTTAAAAATTTGCCCAGGTGAACGCAAGAACATGTTTTATGTGAACGGTCCTTCTTGTCATCGGGTGTCTTATATTAAAATTTTTATATCAAATTTTTCTTTTTCTAGCAACAACAACATCAATATCAGCAGCCACAGCAACAATTTTATCCTCAGCCTTCTCATACAACTATGGGTGTTGCACCTACCATGCAAGGTATATGGTTTTTAATTATATGATTATTGTATTGAAATTGATTGTAGCATAATATATTCATGTATGTGTTCTGTGGGACTTCCTGCAGGTGACCCAATGGGAGCGGATGCCACCTTGTCATCAGCTGTAATGCCGACTTCAAGCTTAACACCGGTGATTGTCTTTTTTTATACTAGCACAAAGGCACGTTTTTGAGACAAGGTGGCCAATTTTAGCCAGGGGAGATATTGGTTTTGGACTGTAATAGACTATCTGGCTGTGTGCAGGGTGTGATGTATTCTGAGACAACGGCAATGGCGCAGTCAGTCCAGACAGCTGAGCACCAGACTGCAGCTTTATCTGACACTGCTCTTCCTGGAGCTGAGGAGTCCATTGACGGCTACAGCTATGGTATGCCACTGTTCAGTTAAAGATTAACTTTTTCTTTATTGTATATTTATTTATATTCACAGTATTCAACAGCCCTAGTTGAGGATAGTAACTGGTTTGATAATCATACTCTTGTTACAGCAGGATCTGAGGCTCCAGATTTGTCAGCCTTCCTTTACGATGCTACATCAGGCTTCTACTATGACCCTCAGACTACCCTCTACTATGATCCCAACTCAAGGGTATGTATAGAAATAGCCCTTTGATTCTCCTGAATGTGTAATATGAATGAAATACAGTATACAATGTCTTAATGTTTATTTGTGCTTGTGTAGTATTTCTACGACGCTCAGAATCAGCAGTACCTGTACTGGGACAGTGCCTCAAAAACCTACATCCCAGTCCAGAACTCTTCTATTGAAGGTCAGGAGCTGGCCCCTGAAGCTGCTGTTCCCGTGGCAACTGCTGCTGAGGTTATAGCTATGCCCATCACAGAGGAGGAAGTGACGGCAGTTCCAGAGACCGTGCCGGAGGTGCAGGTGGAAGAGGAGCCTGCCCCACGTGCAGAAAAGAAAGAGAAGGAAAAAGAGGAAAAACCCAGAAGTTTAGCAGCTTTTAAGGTTTTAACATCATAATTGACATCAACATCATGACATAATTTGCATCACGTTCTATTTTTTATTAACAACCGCAAGCACTGTGTTAGATCTTTGTGGTAATTTTGGATCTGATCATCAGATAATGAAAGACATGGAGCGATGGGCGAAAATCCAGAACAGGCAGAAAGAAATTGTCCGTTCTCCTTCACCTCTTCTCAGGTCTGGAGATGACCAAAGACCCTCAAAAGCTGCTGATGCAGGCTTTGCAGTCTTTGAAAGGAAGGTCAGATCACTTTTTTTTTTCTTCTATCCCTTTCAAAAAAAATTGAGCAACATACTTATTACTATTGCTTATAATTAGAATTAGGAATTTAAACAAACCCCAAACCTTACATATTAAGTAATTTTAGCGCACACTCTTTCGACATGAACACTGCAAATCAGGCAGCTCATTGAAGAGAGGTGTGTTATTGATTTTTACTCTGTAGATGCTAAAACAGAAAAAAAATCGATACGAATCCAGAATACCCTAGCAACCACATAGCAACATGTTACAAACCTCTCGGAACACCTTCGTAACCCCCTGGCAACCTCTCACAACACCCTAAGATTGTGGCAACAAGTTTTGTTTGTACGGTTTCTTCAGAAAATATCAAAATCTAGTGTTTATCATTATACTTCCCAGAGATAATAATCATTACCCATCATATAGACAGATTGGGTTGCATGTGTCATGCTCTATTTTTAATCCATCAGCAAAATATTGTAATGCTCTGTATTTTTAGTCATATGGAGTGTTGTGAGTTGCAATGTCCCATAAATTAAGTTGGACTACATTTGAAATCTCTAATTTCTCTCTCCAATCGTTACTCGCGTCTCTCCCCTCATATATTTTCACTGGCACACATTAAACTTGAGATCTTTTTTTAAATTTTTTTATTTTTTATAACCTCTTATTAGCATCCTTGGCTTTGGAATTGTTTGTAAAGTAAGGGAAATGCAACAGGCCGGATACATTGTGTTTTTAAAATTCAGTACATTTAACACAGTGTCTGATCCTACCCATCAGTCATCTATAACAACCTACTAAACCTTAGCTATGATCATTCTTTTAAACATTTTAATGTCTGTTCTTATTCCATATGGTTCCCTTATTCATATAGGTCACCGGTGCAGATGAATTATTCAAGAAGCCTCTTGCTCCTCCAAAGCAAAAAGAGGAAAAATCATCAAAGGTGAGTGTTTACAGTCTTGCTATCAACAGCACACACACATTCAGTCTCCGTTTTCCCAGACAGCTGAAAGGGCACACACATCATCTTGACCCTGATTGATGTAAGTTATATGATAACCCACACTAAAGCAGATTTACAGTGAGTGTCATTGTAGATCAAAGCAAAACTCCCCTCTCTCCCTCTTTTGTGTTGGCAGCGGCCCATGGGCTCTCTTGGAATGTTGGCGGCCGATTACGGGGCAGGCAGCGACGAGGAGGAGGAAGAGAAACACGAGAAGCAGGAAGCTGCACAACCCGCAAAGAGCCAGCCACAGGCAGACGAGAAGGAAGACAGGTTGACAGATTGGAAGAAGATGGCATGTCTTCTGTGTAGGAGGCAGTTCCCTAATGAAGACGCTCTGATTCGCCACCAGCAGCTCTCAGACCTGCATAAGGTACCAAATCTCTAAATGAAGCTCAGTGGGTGACATGGGCAATGGGCAAAAAAAAAAACGGAATGCGTGATCGGGTTTTTACCACTCATTTGCACGGCACATAAATATCATGTCACCGTGTGACGTATAGGCAGAGGGTGAACCAACTCCAGAAGACTGAAAGTAGCCTAATATTTTGTCTAATAGCTATATGCACACCACAAACCCGTCTTTTTAGGCAAGTGCCAGATATGGGTTTTGTGTCATAAAATATTTTTAATACTACCGAATTTGTATTTAACGTGATCACAATTTAATAAAACATTGTAAGTTAAGCTTTAATTTCCACTGTTATTCACACAGCGAATAAATTACATAAAGCGAACAAAGAACATTTACATTATCAAAGACCATTATGAATGACTTTTAAACTCTCAAAAAACTCCTGTTATAATCATTGAAGCTGTCTACATTGTGAAATGAATCTCTTACTTACATTGTACGTATATCTGCACTTTGTTGTTTATGATGAGAGAATTTGCGAGAGTGCAGAATTCAGTCTGCGAGCACACTGAGCAAATCTCGGCCTCGTCTGAACATCTCTGATTGGCCATTGCATTCATCAACTCAACGTAAGTTGTTTATAATGCAGACCGCTGTAAATAAATTAATACAAAATAAAATTTAGCAAAAAGAAATATTTTACCCTGGACCACAAAACCAGTCATAATTGTCAATTTTTTTTAAATTGAGATGTATACATATATACATATAATAAATAAGCTTTCCATTGATATATGGTTTGTTAGGAAAGGACAATATTTGGCCGAGATACAACTATTTGAAAATCTGGAATCTGAAGGTGCAAAAAAAATCAGAAAATTGCCTCTAAATTTGTCCAAATTAAGTTCTTAGCAATGCATATCACTAATCAAAAATTACGTTTTATATGTTTACGGTAGGAAATTTACAAAATATCTTCATGGAACATGATTTATTGGAACATTACTTAATATCCTAATGATTTTTGGCATAAAAGAAAAATCTATAATTTTGACCCATACAATGTTTTTTTGGCTATTGCTATAAATATACCCAAGCGACGTAAGACTGCTTTTGTGCTCCAGGGTCACATATGATGCAGCAAGAGCTGATAATCAACTGTTTTTATTTCAGTTTCACATTATTCACTTTATTACACTTAAAGGGATAGTTCACCTAAAAATGAAAATTCTGTCATTAATTACTTCACCCTCATCAATGGAAGTCTTATACAGTATTACAGTTAGTCAATCTAAAATGGTGATTGTGCATTAACAGCTGTTGATCATGTCAGTACGCAAATGAGCGGTCTAAACTTATTTACCCAGCCTTTTTTATTTTATTTTGGTTGCACATGCACACCTGTGCACCACTTGTATATAGACACAGTAGTCAACATTTGAAGTGGATCAAAAAAGGTCATCAAAGTTGTCCTAAGACAAGAAAGCATATTGGTTTTAGGAGCCGAGAGATGAAAGGTTTTGATCCACTTCAAATGTTGACTACTGTGTGTGTGTGTGTGTGTGTGTGTGTGTGTGTATATATATATGGGTATATGTACTGTATGTGTGTGCACGTGCATTTGTGTGTAATTGTACCATTGTATAAATATATTTTAATCAGTTATATATTTTGTATAAGTATATGAAGTATATAATTGACTGAACTGGATTGTTTAAACATTTGTGGGTCAGTTTTTGACCTTCTCTTTATTGTTTTTGTCTTTTTATTTTAGCAAAATATGGAGATTCACCTAAAAATCAAAAGGTCAAAAAGAGAACTTGAAGCTCTAGAACACCAGGAAAAAGAGGTATAATTTTTTTTTCTTTCATCAATTATGTACAGTCCTCAGCATAAATAAGTAGACCCTCTCCAAAATAAAATACATATGATTTTATTTCTTAATGATCCCTAATACAGTTCGTGAAAAGATTAAATATTTAAAAGATTAAATGTATAACGTGTATAGATAGAAAATGTCATTAATGTCTGTAAAATAAGTAAATTAGCCAATTTTGTTTAAATGAAGGGTTGCAGAAATTAGTACATCCTTCAAATAAATATTATTCTTGATTTCAAGCATATTCTCCATTTTCTCACAATAGTTCAAAATGAAATGATTCACTCTCATTTTGAACCCCTGTCCTTAGATGAAAATTAAACCGCCGAATGGTTCACCTGAAGCAAAAAGAAGAAAGTCACAAAACACATGGGCCGGCAGCTCAAGGTTTGTGATTTTCTGAATCCTAATACATTTCATTTAAATTTGGCATTGATATAGAACCCCCATATCTTAAATGTGGCATGTTGTGTTGTTGCAGGGACAGTCATAAAGGCAGCGAAAGACCAGGTTTGGGTTTAGAGACTGCTGAGGTGAGTCTTTTGAGCCACAGGATGTTTTTGAGCTGCAGCAGTTGAGGGTCACAGGGTTTCCGCGGAGCACTGACTTTTAAAGCATTAAAAATCATTACATTTTATTCCTACAGGCATTAAACAGTTTTTTAGATGGTTTTGAAGAAAAATAATCTTACCAGTTAATTTGGAATATAGGCTTCATAATTCATAACTTTTCAATTTGCTGTCACAAAATATGTACATTGGCGTGATATACACACTGAACCAGTTTGGTAATTGTTGCCGGCCGGTGTGAAAATGCCATATCGCCAGATGTTTACGCAAACATTTCCGTAAAGTCGGAAAGAAATGGGGAAGTGCTATTAAGCAATTTCCATGAGAATGATTCAGATTTTTTTCCACTTGCTTCATTCTTGATTGAATCAGTCATCTGAATGAATCTGTTGAACTAATGACTCAAATGCTCACTCATTAACACAGTCACTTACCGCCACCTACTGGCGGTTAACTCACCTATTTAAAAGTATCTTTGCATTTTTTCCCCAAACTTTCATAGTTGTATATTACAAATTATTTAAAACACTAAGCTTTTTCAGGTCATGGTCTGATTTTTCAGTGTGTCTAGCATTCAACATCTGTTGGTACTTTAAATCAATTTTGAAATATCTGCAAATGTATTTTGACATTAAGATGTCTGCTGATCCATTTCAAATTCAGTTCAGAGTGATAACAGTTTATTTAAATTATGTAGATTTTCTCAAATATGCAAGATTATCATCATTGCATCGTCAGACTGGTTAGTATGATTAATATAAAACACAAATGGTCAAAAGTATGGGATCGTTAAGATTTTTTTATGTTTTTGAAAGAAGTCTCTTATGCTTACCCAGGCTGCATTTATTTGATCAAAAATACAGTAAAAACAGTAATATTGTGAAATATTATTTCAATGTATAATAAAAAAATTTTGTGAATGTATTTTAAATTATAATTTATTCCTGTGATTGAAAGCTGAATTTTCAGCATCATTACTCCAGTCATCTTTTTTTTTTGTGGAAACCATAATGTATTACCATTCAAAAGTACTAGAAAAGTAGAAGAAAATACTTTTATTCAACAAGGACAAATTTAATTTATCAAATTGTGGCAGTAAAGACATTTATAATGTTACAAAAGATTTTATTTCAAATAAATGCTGTTATTTTGAACTTTCTATTCATCAAAGAACTCTGAAAAATAAATGTGAAGCAGAAAATAAAAATTCAATATTGATAATAAAAAGAACCATTATTAATAATTTAGTACCAATAATAATTTATTACAGAGCAGCAAATAAGCATATTAACTTTCTATTCATCAAAGAACTCTTAAAAATAAAAGGTCTCACGATTTTCACAAAAATGTGAAGCAGAAAAAAATTCAATATTGATAATAAAAAGAACCATTATTAATAATTTTGTACCAATAATAGTTTATTACAGAGCAGCAAATAAGCATATTCAAATTATTTCTGAAGGATCATGTGACACTGAAGTAATGATGCAGAAAACTCATCTTTGATCACAGCAATTAGTAACATTTTATCATGACATTTATCATGTTATTTTAAATTGAAATAATATTTCTCAATATTACTATCACTGCAGCCTTGGTGAGCAGAGGAGACTTGTTTCAAAAACAATAAAAACCTTTGATCTTACATTTTTATATATATTATTTTATATATATATTTATATATATGGGTCGTGTATGGCATAATTTTTTTTTTAATGGCATTAAAAAGGCATTAAATAAAATGTGATGATACCTCCAGAAACCCTGGGGTCATTGGTTTCATTCTTATCTTTCTCTTGTTTCTTACCAAAGCGGAAGAAGAAGGAACCCGTCGTATGGAATCATGCCACGTACAAACAGGCGGTTCGGAAGGCCATGTTTGCACGTTTCAATGAGTTGGACTGAAAATGAAATGAATGAACAAAAAGGGAATTTGTGAATATACATGCATATACACACACACACACACACACGGTATTGTGTGGTCCGTTGGCAGCTCATTCCAGGCTTTAATCTGTGAACTGATACAAAATTCCTGGAGAAGCTTATTATGCCTAACCCCTCATTTTGTGGATATGGTGATGTGTGACTGTATAAAAATAATTAATTCATTTCCTAACAACCAAGTGTACTCTTATGTTTAATCATTCTTTTTGTAGCTCTATTCTTCAGGGCTTTTTAAATATTTCCTCATTTGATAATGTTCTATCATGTTTTTTCTCTTTTTTTATGTAGTAAAATTGATGTAATATTTCATTTGTAAAATGAAATATTTGAGTTAAGATGATTGTACATTGTAGTTTGTCATTGGGTCAATAAACTGCCTCAATGTGACTGTAAACATACAATTTGTCTTGTATTTATAGAAAAAGTTTTTTTTTTTTTTAAATTAGTTTTAAAAATATGACATGATAAACTGATGTATCTTATTTTTACTGCTTGTGGCTGTCTTAAAAGTGTCACTAAAAGTGCCCCTCCCAGGAGCGCCTTAAGATACCAGAGGCCCCTGCATTGGCTACAGCATTACGGTAGCTCTAAGTACACACACACACACACACACACACATATATATATATATATATATATATATATATATATATATTGTAGCTTCCTGACAATTATTTGTCAAATTTCAAATTTTTCTTGTTGACATGCCAGTTAACATTTAAAACACTGATCTGCTTGAAATAAGATAATATGCTAATTCACTCTTTGCCAGAAGGTGGCGCTTGTGGAGAAGCAGAATTACAGCCTTTACATAAAGTAAACACTAGTTATCACAGGCATTATACAGAGATAATATGAAAAGAAAATGCCATCAAAACTTTCCTGGCCGAAATGTGAGTTTACAGGTATGAAAAATTACACAAAATATTAATTATTCATCATTAGTACATCAAACTATCACTTGGCAAAAATGTGGGCTATTTGGTGGTTGCCCACTGTGTTTTCTATTTTGAAACATGCCGTGCTTGTGTTTAATTAATTAAATCATAGCATAAAGACATGTACACAGAATAGCTCTCACGCTAGGCTTCTTTACTAGCGTATCGTGCATTCCGCTCACAGTATATCAACTATACAACTGTGTGGGGGAAACCTTAACTGAAACATTCACAACATATACTACAAGCTGAAAATTAGTGTGTTGAGTTTGTTTACATAATGCTGTTGTCACTGCTGCAAACGCCCATATATACAAATAATAATTAAAAAAATATAATTTACCTGCAGCCAGTATAGACCCCTCCCAAGTGTAGGCCCCCGTGCGTTAATGCGCCCCTGCCGCCTCCAGGTGGCAGAATATAGCTTGCTATTTCAATTTCACATTTAGCCGCACCTCAGAGATGTCTAATGCTGAAAGAATGAATCTACTCATGCAGTCATGAATTTCGTCGATACTTCATTAAGCTTTCTCCCTTGGATTTGTTTTCCATTTTCTTGTGGTTAAACTTGAAAGTGATGCATTGACAGTACACAGTGCTTTACTTCACTGCATGCGCAGGCAGAGATTATATTTCACTCTATCTAAAAGTTCTGCTGCCTTCATGTCGTTTGTTTGAGACTGTAAGCTTTGTGCATGTTTAATGCACCTAACTCATTGCCTTACATATTTACAACATTTAAATACATTTATGTGCACAACTTGAACTTTTGACGTGTTTGTTTGGATGAGGTTCTACAGAAGTCAGCAGCAGGTAATAATACATCAGCAGAACCGGCAATAAAGATCCCTCAGCCTGACATTCAATGAGTGTTTGATCCTTTTCTTGGTGGACAAATAGTCTCTGTCCATTGAGTTTGAGCCTGTTGAAAGAGAGGAATGTTGGCTCTCACACTGTTTGTTTTGGTCAATCATGCTTGAATGATTGATCAGGCGTAGAACCATAAAGACAAAAAAAGAAGAATGCACCCCAAAAATGGTTTCTCTAACACTCCCTAAATAGCAGATAAAAGCTGGTAATACTTGTGTTAGGAAAATATATGGACACAGCAGAGCTCTGAGGCTAGCTCTCCACAGAGCAAATTTTAGGACTTTTATCAGGCTCTTCTTTGATGTGTAAATGGCTGTTGTCTGTAGTCATGGTATAATGTAGCGCGTGTCAAAGGTCGGCATGCTTTCCTTCCTCCTCATGGTTGTTGTCATCTGTAATTGCTTTTTAATTAGTCATTCTTTAAAAGAAAGCTTGCAAATGCCCGTTTCAGCCAGCTTCTTTTGAAGGGGAGGACTTTTGTCATATTGGATCTTCTCAGAGTTCCCATACATACTTCTTGGTCTATGATTTAAAGAAGTCCAGAAACCTTGTCCCAGGGTGAGACTTTTAAGATTATCCTTTAGTTGGTATTGTGAAATTATAAAGTAAAAAAATAAAAAGATTTAAATCTGCAATGTGCCCAAACATTTAGCAGTTCACAGGTAGACTATAGTTGTCCTAAGTTTAAACTCTTTCTTAATTTCGTCTTATTTTTAATAAATAATTTTAATATAAGTTATAAGTTTAATAGTATTTTAATCATTGATGGACATGCTAATAAGCTTTTCAAAATTGGTGGTAACAGCAAAATAAATAAAAACACCAATGATCAATAGTTAAATGTATTAAGTATCATAAACTTTTATTCTGACAAGTTGTTAATTTAACTTATATTGATTTAGTGTTAGTATGATGTAGATATAATGATCCGCAATATTTTAATTTTGCATTAAATTTAAAAATATTTAACTTTTTAATATTACTCTAATAGGTGATAGAAAAATATATGCTATCAGTTTAAAACTTAAGTGAATATTTTCCTTATAATATTTTAATGATTATAGAAAGAAATCTGGCCTTTGTGATATGACATTTTTTTTACACAATATAAAATCGTCTGTATAGATAAAAAAAAAAAATATATATATATATAGCTGCCTTTAGAACTATTTGGTTTATAATAAACATTTTAAATTACAAAAAGTACTTTCCAAGTGCTTGTTTCTAATTTTCCACCTTGAATGCTTTCTTTTTTTCTCTGTCTGACACATGGACCCTGCCGACTGTCAAACAAATGTGTTCCAAATGTTTGGATGACCATCTGTCAGCAAAGTCGAACAACAATGCATAGTGTTGACTTCGTGGTTTGACCTTCCTTCCTCTTTATTTGCAGAAGGTCTTCGCAGGTGAGTTTTATTTTCAGGGTTGGAGCTGAACTCTGCAGGACTGCGGCTCTCTAGGACCGAACTTGCCTACCCCTGGCTTAAGGGAATTCCAGTCCTACCAGACTTTCTGCTCGTACAAGAACAGATGCTCCTCTTTATCTGAGGCTTTGCTGTCCTCACTATTTTTGTAATCCATCATTGTATTCTTGCTTGTGTTCTTGCACCTTAGTGTGCCAGGTGTCAGCATCACCACGCTTATTACTGCAGAGCACATCAAATTATTTGGCCTTCAGATGAGTCCAGACCATTAGTGGAGATACAGAGGGGCTAGTGAGGATGAATGTGGGGGTCTGAGGTTTTGTACCCACTGCATGTGCGGCTCGAGTCCTCAGAGGCAGCAAGACTGAGTGTGGAAACCGTGCGGGAGGCCTCATTATCTCCAGCCAAAGCTTCTTCTTGCACATAGAGCAGGAGCTGCATGGGGTCTCTGACCAGCTTTGAGATGACCCTCAAAAAATACACTACACAGTCAGTCTGCAGGGACGAACCAACGATAAAAAGAAGCAATTATTTTAGCTGTAACTCATTGTTTAGGATTAGGATTTAATTTCTACATAATAGCCTATGGTTGTTTCGGGATGTATGTGCTTTGTGTTTTTCACTACGGCACATTTTTATTTTACATTCTCAGACTGTCTGGATTTGTAAATTATTCTGTTTATTAATTATAATTTTTATATATAATTATAAAAGTATGTCATCGGCTGGGCGCCAGATTAATTTGATGATTTCTTTCATTCCCCAAACGTCAGCTCATACATGGAATGTAACCCACAAAAATATCCATTTAATAAGTAGCCTGTGCAAATGTTTACATTCGCTTGTGATTTCCAGGAGACCGCAAGTTTATTTAGCTGAAAATGATCCCACCACAGTGTGTAATTATAATTATATCAGCACAATCTAACTACATTAACCACAAGGACTCTTAATGTTGAAACTGCTTCTTGCAATAATTTCCATAGGAAGAAAGTGTAAAATTACCAAAAACAAACCCTAGTCTGTTATATACATACACGGTCAAAAATATCAGAACCACATCCAAATTTCTGTGTTTTTATGGTATGTACTAGATTTGAATTTGAACTGTTTTTTCGTTATGTGTGAATGTGTTTAGTATACATTCTCAGCATACTACATCCGCCATGTTGACATTGATGCGAATATCTCATTTAACATAGATTGTACTAATAACAACTGCAAAAATAATTTACTCTTAAATAATTTACAAGTATAAAATTTAGCCACCATGAACAACTTTACGAACATAGTGTCTCCAACTCCAGCTTAGCAAAGTGTTCACTTCAGTATGTAAGCGGATGCAGTTCATCCAGGGATTGTTCACCTTTAAATACTGTTTTTGGATATAATTTTATGTTCTGCTTTTTGCATAATTTGTCGCAGGGAAGTAGGCTAAAGGCACATTTGATTTTTTTTTTTCATCTAAGCCTCTCGATATCACAGAAATTGCACTGCAGGCTTTTTGTAAACATTTGCGTTTCACTTTGCACTTGGAAATTTGGATGATCTTTGTCGCGACAGCAGGCAGCAAAGCAAAGTCGATTCTTTAGTTTTAAAGTCCGCATGAAATCAAAATAGGTTGTTTGCAATCACGTGATTCTGATGACGCGCGAAATGCAGCTGGAGGGCAGGAAGTGATTTTTCTCTCCATAGAAATCACTAGCAGAAACTCCAAATGCCAGTGTTTTGCGTTGTTTATGGATGCTCAAGTCGGACAAACCGAGAAACCACAAGGAGCTTTTATAGTGTACAAAAATGTGTTGCTCATAAGGGGGGAACATTCAAGAATTTGACTGAAAAACGCTGGAAAAAGTGGCTTGTAAACTTTTTTAGCCGGATGATGCTCGTGTGTGCAAATGGTTAATAGAAGATAATAATATATAAAAATATTAATGAAGAAATATATAAATAGATACAGGGTGACACTGTCAGAATTCACTGAATGCTAAACGCCACACATAGACACGATATAAGTAAGATATTGTTTGCAGTTCACGGAATCGTGAGTTTGTGATAAATTGAAGTAA